TGTTTGTTATTTATTAAGATTAATAATACTTTTGAGGACAAATGTAATACTTTTATATTTTGATGTAAAAACATTACTTTATTCATCAAAAGTATATATTATATTTTTCCTTATAAGTAATGTTACACTTATAAAGGAAAATATAATACTTTTGATGAAAAATGTAATGCTTTTATATCAAAACAAAAAAATGTAAAAGTATTATGAGTACATTTTTCCTCAAAGGTATTATATTTTCTAATATAAGTACTAAATATTTTATTTCTGATTTAGTATTACATTTGATAGTATAAGTATTACATTTCGTCTTGACCCGACCCATCTCACGAACAAGGATTCACGAGATCATCTCACACAAGTTTTTGTCGTCTAACTATGCGAACGAGCTATAAACAGTAACTATATGGAAGGTAATGGCCTGGTTAAGGCTTTTTATTTTGACAAATCATGAATCATCGTTTACTGTTTGAACTATTATTATTTTTGAAAAAATGGTGCTAACAGGTTAGGGCAATCCACCTTAATAGTTAAAAAATTTACTTATTATTAGTCTTGGTAAAATTAAGAACAAGCACATTTTTCTTTCTTTTTTAATAATAAAATTACAATTCTTTAAATTTTAAAATTTAAATACAAAATTTAAACTTTTAAAATATAAAATTTACTTGTGTAATTCATAATTAAATCTTTTATTCTAAATTAAATATCCAAATAATTCTCTTCAAAAAAAAATACAAATAATTAGTTATATTTATACATTAAAATAAAAAAATAATAAAAATTAGTTAATCGGTTCTTCATGAACTAGAATTGGTGGTTCATGAACCGTTTAGAATCACATAATAATGGTTCAAGTTATGCATTTCGTCAATGACTAATATTGATGATGGTTTTATTGGGACCGAGTCCACCATAAATTGGATATAGAAATATAGAATGGGGGTAGGTAAAGAATACTTTATTACCCCGGGGCGCTAGGCCCAAACTGGTACGTACAAAGCCCGAGATACAGGCCCAGAATGACGGCCCAAATACAAAGATCACGCCCAAGGAATAGAATATGGCCCAAAATAATAACTAAACAAGCTAAGGAAACTAATAAATTATATAAAACTAAATATGTGACCAATAGGACTCGAACCTTGGTGTGCCAGCAGGGGGTTGAAGACTTAGACCAATGGACCAGGAGGGGTTTGGTGAGCCAATGGGTGCCTTTAAAAGGGAGGGAATGGTGCCTATTTATACTGTTGAGGGATTCACGGATGGTTGACAAATGGACGGCATCTGGAAGCCTTCATTTTGGACCACACACGTGCCCCCCCCCCACTTCTTTGCTTCCAGCGCACTTCCATGCATAAGTGGAGCTTCCTACCCTTTAATACACAAAATCTTGATTGGCTTGGTGGTCTAGGACTTGTGTTATTATACTTGAGGTTGTTGGTTCGGTACCCCTTAGTAATAACTCTAATAATATTTTGCTCCAAGCTTCCTTCTTACCTTAGCCCGATAGAATTCTATTATTCTTGTTGGGCCAACACCTCACCCATAAAGATGGACACCTCATTTGGGCGGTTGGGCCGACTTTTCCAATAAAATGGTCCCCCCGGGGTCCCATATCGCCATCACAAGTCCCCCACTTTCTTTAGGCATCTGGATGCTTGAAGGAAGTATAATTCAATACTACCACCTCCTCCCTTTCCCAAACTCAATACTTGTCGTTCCCCCACCATCGTACGCTGCTGCCACACGCCACACTGCTATGCGCCATGCCATTACGGCGTGCCTCTGCCGCACACCGCATGTCGCATTACCTGCTTCATCACCTAGTGTCGAGAGATCAAGGTGACTCCTCCATTGTCGTGCTTCTTGGATGCTTCTTGTACTGGACATCTTCCTCGCTACTTAGTACTTGGCTTTATTTGAATATTCACTGGATGTCTTTGCTGCTTTACATTGTTCTCCCTTGCTGCTTTGTTCTGTGCTGTTGATTTTTCCATACGGTACCTGTTATTTATTTATTTATTTATTTGTTTTTAATGCTTTAACGATAGCCTTCACCCCCTTTGGAGGTAGGGATTACCTTTCACTTGGTGGGATGAGCGCCCTCTGGAACTTGTATACAACATGCCACAAAAATGCCCGCGAATTGCTTACCCTGCCATGCAAGTTCGCGCATGTGGGTTGCAATAACCCAAACGCCCCAGCCACCAGAATGCACGTGGACTGCCTACCCTGCTATGCATGTCCGCGCATGTGGATTGCAATAACCCACATGCCCCAGCTACCAAAATGCATGCGGATTGCCTACCATGACATGGAAGTCCGCGCATGTGGGTTGCGATAACCCACATGCCCCAGCAGCCAAAAGGGCGGGGTGGGCTCGTCTTTTTTAAGCCCGTTTTAAAAATGGGTTTTTTTGCCCGCCCCGCCAGCCCGCCTTCATTTTTTTTTTTTTAAATCCTAAATCATAATGGGCTAAGACTAAGGAGTAAGGCCTAAGGGGCGCTAATCCTAAATAAAATAAAAGCTCAAACACGAAACATTCATCCTCAAAGCCCTAGCAACTAGCGTGAACTCCGTCCAGTCCGCAATTTCGTACAAACGCACTCATCCTCGACTCCTCGTCCGCCACTCCGCCTTCCGCACAGCCAGCCTTCAGCCCTCGGCCGCCGTCCGCCCGCACAGACGCACTCCGACGAGGCGACGACCTGCCGACCAGTCCACCACTCCAGGCTCTAGGCTCCAGGCTCCAGTAGTCCAGCCACGCAGCCAGCCTTCAGGTAATTTATTTCCCCTTTTTTTTTTTTCCTTTTTCTTTCATTTAATTTATTTTATTTTTATAGTTTACAAATTACAACTGTACATATGATTATATGATAATATGAACTATTGATTTACGGATTTACAAATTTACAGATTTGAAGTACTGTTTTATATGAACTAATTTACAGATTTACAATCCCCATTTTATATTTATTTTAATTTACTAATTTATATGAACTACTGGTCTACTATATATGAAGTTATGAACTACTGATTTGTTTAAAAAAAATGTACTGATTTGTTTAAAAAAAACAGTGTACTGCTCAGATTGCTCGTGATGGATTCTGTGTCTTTGAACCAAACTAATGCGAACCAAACTACTCATACCATTGCCGATGATGATGTTGATGGAATGCCAGGAATGGATAGTTCTACAAAGAACGGTAAGTCTAAACAACTTACCTCTGATGTGTGGACTTATTTTACAAAGCTTCCAATTGGTGAAAATGGTATTTCAAGGGCAAAATGCAATGGTTGTTCAAAAGAATTTAAAGCTGGGGGAAAATACATGGAACTTCTTCATTAAAGAGACACAAAGAAACATGTAGGATGTTAAAGTTTCATGATGTTGGGCAAATGTTTGTTAATCATGAAGGCAAACTTGAATCTAGGAAAGTAGATCCAAATATTGCTAGGGAGTTGTTAGCTTCTGCAGTCATCAAACATGATTTACCATTTGCATTTGTTGAATATGATGGTATTAGAAAATGACAGAAGTATTTGAATCCCGATGTGCCTTGTATCTCTAGAAACACACTTGTGACTAACATTACTAAGATCTATTTTCAAGAAAAAGAGAAGCTGGAACAAGTGTTGGCAAATATCAAAAATAGAATTTGTTTAACTTATGATGTATGAACTGCATGCACTAGTGAGGGATATATTTGCTTAACTGGGCACTTTGTTGATGTGAATTGAAAATTGAATAGCAAGATACTTTGCTTTGCTAAGATGCCCCCACCACACACAGGATGTGAATTATTTGCAAAAATATTCAATTTTTGAAGGATTGGGGAATTGAAAGAAATGTGTTCTCTTTGACATTAGATAATGCATCTAGTAATGATAGTATGCAAAACATTTTAAAGGAGCAATTATCTTTGCATGATAGTTTATTGTGTGATGGAGAGTTTTTCCACATTCGTTGTTCAGCCCATATATTAAATCTCATTGTATAAGAGGGGTTGAAAGTGGTTAATTCAGCTTTGCATAAAATTACAGAGTCTGTCAAATATGTGAAAGGTTATGAGGGTAGGATGAAGAAGTTTGAAGAATATATAAGTGCAGTTGGTAACATTGATACTAGTATTGGTTTAAGATTTGATGTGGTTACTAGGTGGAACTCCACATATTTAATGTTGGAAAGTGCTATTAAGTACAAAATGGCATTTGCTTATCTTCAATTGAATGGTAGACAGTATAAATTTTGCCCTTCAAATGAAGAATGGAAAAGAGGTGAGAAAATATGTGAGTTTCTTGAGCCATTTTATGAGGTGACAAATTTGATTTCCTGTTCTTCCTATCCTACCTCAAATCTATATTTTATGCAAGTTTGGAAGATTGAAAGTATGTTGAAAGAAAACATTGATAACGAAGATGTCTTGATAAGTGAATGTGTAAAAAGATGTTTGACAAATTTGATAAATATTGGAGTGAATATAGCCTAGTGCTTGCATTTGGAGCTATTTTTGATCCAAGGATAAAGCTTGTAACAATGGAGCATTTATATGGGGAGGTTCAGAGTGATCCAACTAAACTTAAAGAAATGATTTCACTTTTGAAGACAAAGTTGAACAAGCTTTTTAGTGGTTATGCGGATATTATTACTCCACCTCTTTCCCAACCACGATTTTCTCAAGTCGCATCTTCAAGTATGCAAAGTAAAAGTTTAGGTAAGAGTCAAAGAAAAAGAGCATTTGAAGTAAGTATTTTAAGTTCTAAGTTTCTAACACTTCCATTTATATATATTTTCTATATCTGCATTTGTGATGGTGATAACATATTTAATGTTTTAAATTTTAATTTCTTAAGTTCTAACTAATGTAGGCAATTAAAAAGTATGATAGTCAAACTGTTAAGATTGTTGGAAAGTTAGAATTGGAAATTTATTTGGAGAAGCCAAAACTTGAATATGCACACTATGAGGATTTGAATATCTTGGATTATTGGAAAGAACGTATGCATAGATATCCTGCACTTGCATTGATGGCACGAGATATTTTGGCTATCCCAATTACTACTATTGCATCGGAGTCGGCATTCTCTATTGGTGCTCGTGTGCTCACCAAGTATAGGAGTTGTATTTTGCCTGAAAAAGTGCAAGCACTTATTTGCACTAGAAATTGGTTGCATGGCTATGCTATTGGTAATGGTAAGTTATTATATTTGTTTACAAAATAATGAAAATATGAAATATTTGATTATATTTTAGGTAGTTGGTATTTTGGTGTATTGTAATTTAATATTTAACTCTCTATTATGTTGAATTTTTAAGTAGATACTGAAGAAAGTTCAAGTTCAACATCAAATTTGTCCTTTGAAGATTCAAATGTTGTTAATCTTGTTGATGACAATGATGAAAATAAAGATGAAGATGTAGAAGATGTGAATGTTGTAATGATGTAATTGACTTATGATTTATGAATTTATGAACTTATGTAGTTAAGTATTTATGCTTTGTACTTTTGTAATTTTAACACTCTATTACTCTGTTATGTTGAATTTTTATGTTTTGGACTGTATGGTGTATTGGTGATTTAGTGTCATTGTTGTCAACTTGTCATGATGTGATGAACTAATTTATGTTATTTACTTAGAAATTAGAATAAGTGTTTTAAGTAGATAGCAATTAAGTTATTAACATAGTCACATTAGAGTTTAGATTTAAGGGACACATCACAATTCACACAATCACACATGATGTAAAAAAATAAAAAAAAATAAAAAAAGGCGGGCTTGGTGGGGGCCCGCGGGCCTAAGGGGAGGCGGGACGGGCTGCCCCTACCTAGGCCCATATTCTTGGCGGGCTTTTTAGCCCGCCCCGCCAAAAAGCGGACTTTGGCGGGCCCCGCACCGCCAGCTCGCATTGACAACTCTAGGACTACCTACCCTGCCATGCAAGTTCGCGCATGTGGGTTGCGATAACCCACATGTCCCAGCCACCAAACTACATGCGGACTGCCTAGTCCGGCAAGTCCGCGCATGTGGGTTGCGATAACCCACACGCCTAGCCTCCAAAATGCATGCGAACTGCCTAGTCCGGGAAATCCGCGCATGTGGGTTGCGATAACCCACACGCCCTAGCTACCAAAATGCATGCGGACTGCCTACCCTGCCATGCAAGTCCGCGCATGTGGGTAGCGATAACCCACATGTCCCAGCCACCAGAATGCACGTGGACTGCTTACCCTGCCATGCAAGTCCGAGCATGTGGGTTGCGATAACCCTCATGCCCTAGCCACCAAAATGCATGCGGACTGCCTACCCTGCCATGCAAGTCCGCGCATGTGGGTTGCGATAGCCCACATGCCCCAGCCGCCAAACTGCATGCGGACTGCCTTGTCCGGCAAGTCCACGCATGTGGGTTGCAATAAACCACACGCCCCAACTTCCAAAATGCATGCGGACTGCCTAGCCCGGCAAGTCTGCGCATATGGGTTGCGATAACCCACATGCCACAGCCACCCAAATACACGCGGACTGCCTACCCTGTCATACAAGTCCGCGCATATGGGTTGCGATAACCCACATGCCCCAGCCACCAAAATAGGTGGGCTTGGCGGGGGGCCACGGGCCTAAGGAGGTGCGGGATGGGCTGCCCCTACCTAGGCCCATATTCTTGGCAGGCTTTTTAGCCCGCCCCGCCAAAAAGGGAACTTTGACGGGCCCCGCCCCGCCAGCTCGCATTGACAACTCTAGGACTACCTACCCTGCCATGCAAGTCCGCGCATGTGGGTTGCGATAACCCACATGTCCCAGCCACCAAACTGCATGCGGACTGCCTAATCCCTAGTCCTGCAAGTCCGCGCATGTGGGTTGCGATAACCCACACGCCCCAGCCTCCAAAATTCATGCGAAATGCCTAGTCAGGGAAATCCGCGCATGTGGGTTGTGATAAACCACACGCCCCAGCTACCAAAATGCATGCGGACTGCCTACCCTGCCATGCAATCCGCGTATGTGGGTAGCAATAACCCACATGCTCCAGCCACCAGAATGCACGTGGACTGCTTACCCTGCCATGCAAGTCCGCACATGTGGGTTGCGATAACCCACATGCCCTAGCCACCAAAATGCATGCGGACTGCCTACCCTGCCATGCAAGTCCGTGCATGTGGGTTGCGATGACCCACATGCCCCAGCTGCCAAACTGCATGCGGACTGCCTAGTCCGGCAAGTCCACGCATGTGGGTTGCGATAAACCACACGCCTCAACTTCCAAAATGCATGCGGACTGCCTAGCCCGGCAAGTCTGCGCATATGGGTTGCAATAACCCACATGCCCCAGCCACCCAAATTCACGCGGACTGCCTACCCTGTCATACAAGTCCGCGCATATGGGTTGCGATAACCCACATGCCCCAGCCGCCAATTGCACACGGACTGCCTACCCTCCCTGTGAGTCCGGTATTCGATCATCCAAATGACCGTAGGGCCAGCATGCATAGCACATAGGAGCACATACTTGGA